TCTTGAAAAATCTGCTAGTTTAATTGAAGAAAACATTTGTGAAGACTATTTGGACTTAAAAATCTATACACAATCCAATTTTTGAAGCAATTAAATAATTTAAAAAGGAGAAATTGTTGCTAAAAGTTAAACATTCATATTGAACAAAGAGGGTTACAAAAGCTTAGAGGTTTAGGAGATTTTTCATTCAATTGTTGGATTCAATTTTTCTCAAATTTTGTAAATATATTAATTTCTTATGGATTGAAGTGTAAGTGAAATTTTAGATGAAATCACAAATTTGATTAATATTGATTGAGATTTTAAAACGGCTAGAGAAATTGATTAATATTTGCTTAGGGTTTTTTTGAAATTGTTTAAAATTTTTTTAAGATTTGCTTGGAATTTTTTTACAATTGTTTAGGATTTATTTAAGATTTAGTTTAAGATTTAGGATTTGATTAGGCTTTTATTTAAGATTTAATTAGAATTTGATTTAAGATTTGATTAGGATTTGATTAGGATTGATTTAGAATTGATTAAAATTTCATTAGGATTGATTTAGGATTTAATTAGAATTTGGTTAGAATTTAGTTAGGATTGGTTTAGGATTTGGTTAGAATATGATTAAAATTGGTTTAGAATTTGATTAGGATATGTTAGAATTTGTTAAGATTTCATTAAGGTTTAATTAGGATTATAATTAATATTTAATTGAGATTTAATTGAAATTTAATTAAGATTTATTTAAGACTATATCAAAGTTTTATTAAGATTTATTTAAGTTTTATTTATGATTTATTTAATATTTTATTTTTATTATTTTAAAAATATATTTTTATTAATTTTTAAAGGTTTTTATTTTAATACTTCTTTATGATTTTTTTATTATTTTTCTTTGAGATTAATTTATGATTTTTTAAATATTTTTTTAGTAATTTCTTTTATATGTTTTTTGAATAGGTAAAAATTTAATAAAGTTTGCTAAAGATTAATTAGAGTTTATTCAAAATTCTATTAGACTTGGTAAGATCTTGTTGTTGCATTTTTTTATTTACCTTCCAAAATTAGGTGTTAAGTGCATTCTTAAGCAAGAATGCACATTATATGATACTAGGATCCAATAATTTTGGAAGATCAAACTCACTTAAAAATCAAATCAGGTCACTTATCACTAAAAAAAAGACCTTATAAACAAGCTCTAAATGAAAGATTAACATAAGAAAGGCCTACGAGTACAAGTCTATAATGTAGAAGCTAACTAGTCGAAGAATGGTCTTCTTAATTAAGATTGGTTCATAAGAAAAGAAGTACATGAAGTCAATGAATATGCTTTATAAGTTTTAGATGCATTTATAACAACGATAAATAATATAGATGCTTCTTCTCAATTATTATCTTGGAACTTAAATCCTAGAGCAAAAAATAATGTTTTAATCAATTTATTGGTTAGATTCTTGTTTGTATTTAATAAAATAACTAGGATTATTTTGATAGGAGGCTAAAGATACTATGTAGCTATGATTGGTAATTTTGCAATTTATTTGCCAAGCAAAGAAATATAGATCTTTTATGTTTTGCACTCTCAAAGTATTCTATAGAATCTCATTTTGATTGGATTCTTGGCAAGACAAGAAATTACTTTAATCTTTGGTAGAAAAAAATGCATTATTAAAAATAGAATAGAAACAATACTTGTAATTATACTAAGAAGTATATTCAATAGTCCCTATATATTAGAAGAAAATATAATAAATTAATATTTGGATGTTAACTAACTTAAAATTCAAACCTTAATTCTAGTGCCATTCTTTGGGACCATCAGTTTAGATATTTTTACTCTCAAGGATTGTACTAAATGATAAGCTTAAGAGTTGTAAAAAGTTGTCAAAAATATCCATTAGAGATCTTAATTGCTCCCACTATCTCTCGAAAAAATTAAATTGAAAGAAGATATCCAAGGTAAGAACTTCAAAGACATCTAAGATACCACAACTAATTCATTCCAATGTAGCAAGTCTATTTTGATTCAAATCTTTGAGAAGAATACCATGTTTTTAATATTTATTGATGATTTTATAATAAAACAAGGATGTATTTCTTTGCAATAAAGAATCAACATATTTTTTAAGTTTTGAGCTTTTCACAAAAAAATAAAAAATCTCACCAACAAAAAGATATTTACTATGAAGATTTATAACGGCAAAGAATATAATTCACAAGAATTTAATTCTTATGGTACAAAGCATGGAATTTAGAGACAACTTTTGAAGCCAGAAACTCTACATCACAATAAAATTGTAGAACAAAAGAATTGTATTGTGTTAGATATTATCTATTATTTTTTTAGCAAATAATAATCTTTCCAACCATCTTTGGACTAAAGCTATTTGTACCATCTATTATATTGTCAACTTATGCACTTTTAAACTCTCTTTACAAAACTCCTAAATAACTTTTTGTAAGAAAAGAATCAAATATATTAAAGCACTATATCTTTAGAATGTTGGTATATATTGATCAATAAATTCTAGAAATAAGTAAATTAGTGCCCAAAGGCCAATTCTATATCTATCTTAGTTTTGGCAACCACGTTAAAAGATGTAAGTATTACAAACTTGTTAAAAAACAAGTTGTGGTTTCAAAAGATGTACGTTTCTTAGAAACCACTCCACCAATCATTACATAAGACTCACCTGATAAATTTGTTAGAATATTTGGACTGATAATATCAACCTTTATATTTCAGTTGATGAAATTAAGTAGTAGATGAGATTCCAATAAGAATGGGCTATAGATGGATGAAACTTAAACCAAAATGAAGAATTCCAAAATAAATGATTCTAGTATATATGAATTGAATTAATTTTTCATTGATTGAATTAAAGTAAATGAATCTAAAATGACAATTTTGATGGAGTCTAATTTACAAATATAAGTAATTAAAACAAATTAACTATAATAAATTCTTATTTAGGATTTAGGAAGCTATCCAACTAAAGTGGTTCATTTTAGCTCATAAGGTGCTTTAAAAATACCACTTGAATTATTTTCACAAATATCTAAAAATAATAATACAAATGATTGAAGTATTTTATGCAAATATTTCAAAGAAGTGAAAGGACCTTTATAAAACCATGTCTAAGAATATTGGAGCAATTTTAAAAGCTTAAGGATATTGGACCAAAATTTAAAGTCCAATTTTTTTTTCATATACAAAACTAAATTATAGATTAAATTTTTTTTAGTGGCTATGTACTTTTATATATTAATATAATTTTTAAGCATTATGTTTTAAATTTGATGATACAAGCTTTATATTTAATTTTGTAAGCTATAATATGTGTGTTTTAAACTTATAGCATAAATAATTTTACATATATATTGACAATTATTTTAAAAGAGGCAATAGTTGTTATTTAATAATTTTTTGTTTAATAATTTTTATTTAATAATTTTTTGTAAAAATCCTATAAAAATTTAGATTTCTTCTTATGCAAAATTTTAAGCTATATTATAGACAAATTTCCATTGCATGATCTATTATTACTTTGGAATGATTTCTTATTTTATTTTTAAAATTATCTATGGTTAAAATTATGCTTAACCATTATCACTTCTAATTGTAAGAAATCACGAATATTTTTTTTATAATTTTATGCATTAATTCATAGAATAAATTAGACTCTTTAAGATTAAGATATTTTAGTTATTTATTGCCTTGATTATGGACTTAAAATAAAATTTTTAATATAAAAAAAAATAGTATCTAATATTATTTGGAGAATATTTAGACTCAATATTGTGTTCAATAAAATCATTATATTAGTTGTTTATTCTAGGCACTGTAAATATTTTTGAGGTTTCTTTAATGTCAAAACTAAAAGAAATGATTACATGAGTATATATATATGTATATATATATATATACATATACATAGACATACATTTATATATGTCTAATTCTTAATACGAACATCAATGTGTTTAAGATGAAACAAAAAATAATAATAAAAATCAGTTATTAACATTCATGTTAATCATTTATATATAATTATTTGATTTTATTACCAAGATATGTTCAACCATATAAAGTTAAATCATAAATTTAAATAATAGAGTTATAAACTCACACAAAGTTCTTTACTAATTGTTTGATGGACTTATGCTACAAAGTTTGTACCCATTTGATATTGTGATACAAAAAAGAATTTTTTATATGTTTTCTGCTTTGTGTAAATTGTTTGAGATATTGTACACTTACCCACACATGTATATTCATATTCTTCAAAGATAATAATAATTAATTATATACGGAAAATATTTTTACTCAATTTATTGTATAAAATATCAATATTTATTTTCAAGTATAACATGCAAAAGTATACAGTTTGTGTCTTGTCAAAACATAACTAGGGTGAAAATACTTAATGTGATTACAATTTTTTTGTTGATGCTAGTTAAATAATGCGGAATTGGGTAATACTTCAACATGTAAGTATATATTGCACAATTTACAGAAGGATCACTTTGGCTTCTATTGTGATGTCACATAAAAGACAAATACCACAGCAACCGAAAATATTTCGAACATTGCACAAATACCTCCTCATCACAACAATGGATTCTGACACAACAAATTATGTGCATCGGTCACATAAGTGTGATGGATAAGTTTCTATTTAGAGACCTACTCAAACAGTACACTCAAATCCATGGCGTAAGTTTCAATATTCTTCAAATCATCGTTGTTTGATTCAACGTGAAAGTTGGTGAAGTACATAAAAAGAATTACAGTGTTGGGATGTTTTGTTGTCGAATACGAGAGCACGGAAATAGCGGTATCACGCCCAATGGCAATGCTAGCTGAATAGCTATTTAAAGAGGAATACTCTCATTGCATTTCTTTTCGTGTACATAAACACACTTAGCTCTGGAGATAGGCTCCGCCTTTTCTCTTCATTTTCTTGTTAAGCACATTTTTTAATCACCCAAGTACGCCATATAATGGATACAACACATTGAAAAGACAATCCAACGCAGTCAACAGTTTATGGTTGATTGAATTCATCAAATCTGAATTCTGGAACTCAGATTGCATACCACAAACCACGAGTTCCAGTTCCTTGCCTGCTACGAATACACCGCGGCCAAGACCAACCCTGACGTCTCCTAACGTCTATAGTAACATATCTACGTCACCTGCTACATTACAATCAAGAAAGGAGAAGCCCCAGCCCAGCCGAACCTCCTTCTCTTGGATAAAAGATAACCTACTTCAGGTACCTATTAAAAAGGAACTCTGAAAAAGCCAGTGCGGGTCATATGATTGTTCTTCGAAAAATATCCATCTGCAATTTTCCGAACTATCCAACCTACCCTCCATACATTTAGATAAATGAGATAGCGCTTCTCGCTCCTGTTACCAAAACTTCAAAGCACCATATTCTACATGGTAAATATCTGGGCTACACTCCGCAACGCCACAGCCGCTCATTGTCACGAAGTCCCAATCCTCTGGATGTCCAACGCTGAAAGGTGCAAGCCCCATCAATTCTCTTGCCCCTGTGCGTACGCAAAGGGATCCGCATCTGCTGCCTGGTTCGAATCCACCGACTGCAACCTTCGGAAAGACAGTTTCTGTTGCGGAAGGCTGCTTCCAGCAACCGATGTCAGATCGGAGTCGATCAGGATTGTGTCCTCCTCTTTGAAGTCTCCTCTCAATATTGAACGCGCCAGCTCGTTCTCCACACTCTGTTGGATCACCCTCTTCACTGGCCGTGCTCCGTAGTTGGGATCATACCCCAAACTTGCCAGCAGTTGGATGGCGCTCTCCGTCACCTTCAGCGTGATCTTCCTGTCTGACAATCTCTTCTGTACACGGTCCAACTGCAAACACACACGCCATCAACTTCAGTGAGTCCCCGTTCAACGTCAGTGCGAAGCTGAATCCCACCGAATGTCCCTTCCACAAATGTCGACACAATCCTTGCATCTGAAGGTGGGCGGAGCCATACCTGAATTCTCACAATCCTGCTTATCTGGTCGCGGTCGAGCTGCTGGAACACGATGTACTCGTCGATACGGTTCATGAACTCTGGTCGGAACGTGTTTCTCGCGGCCTCCATCACTCGAGCTCTCATTGCCTCATATATGACCTCCTTGCTGTTGCCGGCCATGCTGTCCGCGCTGTTGAGAACGTAATGAGACCCCACGTTGGATGTCATTATGATAACTGTGTTAGTGAAACTGACGGTCCTGCCCTGGGAATCCGTCACGCGTCCATCGTCCAGGATCTGAAGGAAGATATTGAACACGTCAGAGTGAGCTTTCTCTATCTCGTCGAACAGAATCACTGCATATGGCCTTCTCCGAACCGCCTCCGTCAGCTGCCCTCCCTCTTCATAACCAACGTATCCAGGCGGTGCTCCCACCAGCCGCGAAACCGCATGCTTCTCCATGTACTCGCTCATGTCGATCCGCACGATGGCCTCCTCGGTGTTGAAGAGATACGACGCCAGAGCTTTGGCCAGCTCAGTCTTCCCCACACCTGTTGGCCCCATAAACATGAAGCTGGCAATCGGTTTGTTGGGGTCAGAAAGCCCCGCCCTGGAACGCTGGATGGCCTCCGCCACGGACTTCACAGCTGGGTCCTGGCCGACTACGCGCTTGTGCAGTTCGTCGTCAAGGTGCAAGAGCTTCTCCCGCTCTGACTGCTGCAGTTTCGAGATGGGAATTCCAGTCCACTTGCTCACCACCTCTGCGATGTCGTTTCCTGTCACTTCCTCCCGAAGCATAGAATTTCCACTGTTTTGATACTCGTCCAGAGCCTTCTCCGCAGCGTCCAACTGGCGTTGCAACGTCATTAGACTTCCGTACTTCAACTCCGCAGCTCGGTTTAGGTCGTAATCTCGCTCCGCTTGTTGGATTTCCAGGTTCACTCTGTCCACCTGCACATGGTGCACCACATGATCAGCATCCCTGCGAGCCCGCAATGTCAACCAACGGCGTGGCCCTCGTCCTCCTTCCGAACCTTCGCCCTCTCTGAACGTTCATCTCGAAAATGGTGCAGGAGGAACATGGGACAATGCATGATACAGTTGTGGATTCCAAACCTCACAAGCATCAACTTCAACTACACACCCACCTCCTCTTTGATGGACTGAATGCGAGTCATCACTGACTTCTCGTGTTCCCACTGATCTGTCAACTCCTTCTGCTTCTTCTTCAGAAGGTCCAGCTCCGTGACCAGTCGATCGAGCCGGTCCCGCGACGCTTTGTCTGTGTCGTTCTTCAGTGACAGCCTCTCCATTTCCAGCTTCAGCACAGACCTGTCTATTTCATCAAGTGCTGTGGGTTTCGACGTGATCTCCATCTTCAACTTCGCCGCAGCTTCATCCACGAGGTCGATGGCTGCACATTCCAACTCGTCCAATCAGCACCACCACGTGACGTCAATCACGGCGACTAAAACAAACCTAGAAGGATCTAACCAACATCCAACACTCAACACCCAACACCCAACTGCGCGAACGTAAAGTCGGCAGCGCTGCGGGGAAGCGTCGCGTACCTTTGTCCGGGAGGAACCGATCGGCAATGTAGCGATCAGCTAACATGGCGGACTCCACCAAAGCGCTGTCCGAGATCCGCACTCCGTGGTGCAGTTCGTAACGTTCGCGAAGGCCCCTCAGAATGGATATCGTGTCTTCCACTGAGGGCTGGTCCACGTAGACTTGCTGGAAGCGACGTTCCAGGGCAGGATCCTTCTCGATATACTTTCGGTACTCGTCCAATGTGGTTGCTCCGATGCAGCGCAGCTCTCCGCGGCCCAGCATTGGCTTTAACAGATTTCCGGCGTCCATTGCACCGCTGGTAGCACCAGCACCGACAACAGTGTGTATCTCATCAATGAACAGGATGATCTGGCCATCGGAGTCGGTGACCTCCTTCAAGACTGCCTTGAGCCTGTCCTCGAACTCTCCACGATACTTTGCGCCTGCTATCAACGATCCCATATCCAGCGAAATCAGCTTGCGGTTGAGCAAAGCTGATGGCACGTCTCCTTGTACAATCCGCTGAGCCAGACTGCACACGAGGATGTAAATATCGTCAGTGACAGAGCTGTAGTCCTTGCTGGAGACCGGACTCTTCCTTTCAATAAATAATTAGGCTCGATGTGCACGGCGGAACCGAAGAACTGACCTACAGCTACTAAATGTTTTTGTTCAACTGCAACGGCCATGAGTGCCCCTGGATTGCTAGAATTGAAATTGCAGTCATTTCTATACGGCATGACGAACTGAGAAAAACCTGAACTAATGAAGCATTCAGATGATGTAAGGCGATTCCAGTACTCACCCTTCAGAAATGGCAGTCTTTCCAACGCCGGGTTCTCCGATCAGGACTGGGTTGTTCTTTGTTCTACGAGACAAAATTTGAATAGCGCGGCGAATTTCATCGTCTCGTCCGATGACAGGGTCAAGTTTGCCCTGTCTTGCCATTTCAGTCAAGTCCTTTCCATATTTCTCTAGAGCTTCGTATCTACCTTCTGGATCTGTAAGTGAAGCAAAACACACGATCTGTCAGGATTACACATGATACTTTAAAGAAAGTTAAAATGAATGTTCGAAGCAGGGTTAATTCTACAGTGGTGTTTAATACTTGTGGTCGAGTCATCTGAACACGAATGGAAAATTAACGGAATTCCGTATTGCAAAGCAAAAGAAAAGCAGAGACATTGCTGAAAAGGAATGGCGAAACCAATTTTACCTTGATCAGTAACCTTTTGTGATCCTCGAATTGACTGAATTGCGGCACTCAAAGTCTTCGCAGTTAACTGGAACTCTTTGAACAGTTGCTGACCAAATCGTTTGTCCTGAGTGTATGCCAGGACCAAGTGTTCAACAGAGACAAAAGAATCTCCAAAATCCTTCTTATGACCACGTGCCTTCTCTATCAATCCCTCCAAATCTCGTCCAAGCATAGACCCACTTGTGTCACCCAGGACCTTTGGTTGTCTCTGAATAAAACGCTCAGTTGCTTGCAACAAAGAGGTGTTATCCACGCCTGCTTTAGCAAAAATTCGCCTCGCCAGGCCATTTCGCTGCTCCAGCAAGGCCTTCATCAAGTGCTCTGTCTCCACAATTTGTTGCTTGCTTTCTTTTGCGACATCAGGAGAGGCGACAATTGCTTGCCAAGCCATCTCAGTGAATTCGCCCTGATTAATCTGTGTAGCCCAAATTGAGGACATATACATCAGAACCCAAAATTTGGGATATTACTGGGCATTCAGAACTTTCTCCTCTATTACGCTCTCCCTTTCATCATGGACCACAATTAAGTAGACAGCAAGCATTCTCAAAGGGGAAAGGGAAAAAAAAAAAAAAAAAAAAAAAAAAAAGAAATGCAAAATCATGAACCCTTGAAACCGTAAATCATTTCGAAGAGAAAATTCTACCACTTATCCCGTTTATCAAATAGGAAAAAAAAAAGAATACCCTTCCATCTCGAGCCTCAGCCGATGGAACAGTGCGATAATTGCGCTTGCTACGCTCCGTCTTCACAAATTCTTTCTTTCTGTTAAACCGCTCTGCTCGCAAACCCACGAAGCTCTGCCACGGACTAGCATTGATCAGACCAAGAGAACCCACAACAGAATTCCCGGACGCTATGCCCCTCACGGATGCCAGGGGTACCACGCGCTTCCGCAGCATCGCAGTCACGGGCCTCCATCGCTGTTGTCGCTGCAACTTAGGAGCAGCAACCGAGACAAGAGCTGGTGATCTCGCAAGCGAAGACAAAGTACAGGACGACACCCTCTGCAACGCGAACGAGGTTATACCCTGCTGCAGGGGCAGCTTCGCAACCGCCATGCTCATCACCCGCCTCCAACCACTAATTCACTCGAAAGAAAAAACCCAACACTCAATCCCGCTTCCGAAGTCGCACAATTACAATCTGCAAATCCCAACCTCCTTCGAAACACCGAATGTCTGCCCTACTCCACCCTCCCCTTCGAACCCACCACGCCTCCGAGGCTCCCACGCGCCACACCCAACCTCTCAACTAAGCTGCGCAACAAAATTCCCAGAGCCCCAATTTGTACCCAACAGAATCCAAAAAGCTCTCCCTGGGATTGGACCCAACGACGCCACCGCAAAATCACACCACACCGACCAGCTGACTAACAACACTACCCACAAAACCAAAGCTCAAACTCGGTGAAGAAAGATCATGCGAGGGTGCGGCCAAAGCTCAGCGACTTATGATAGAATCTCCAACTCAATCTGCACAGGGAATGAGTTTCTACACGTCGACCGACTGCGGGCAAACGCATGGGGAAATGCGGTGTGGCCTGACACATAGGACCTGGACTTGATGAAGTGGAACAACCGTCGGATGACGGAATGCCAATTGTTCTGGAACTCTCTCGCATGCCCTGCGGAGGGGCCGGAATGCTCTAGAAAGCGGGGGAACTCCAGTAAACGCCCACTCACTCCAGCATCGCGGTGGCCATTCCAGGCCCTTGCCTCTGGTTGGGCGCGTCGTGACGGGTGGGGGGGGTTTTCGTGTTACGCGTGACGCGAAGGGTGAGGACCATCGCGATTCGACGCCTCTCTGGCTCGCCCGTGCCTCGGCGTTGCGTAGCTGCTCCTCCTCTTGTGCCTTGTGTGCTTGCTTCGCCATTTTGCTTTGCCATTTTGCGTGGGAGCGTGGCAGGGTTTTCTCGATTCCCTGCTGATATCAGTCGCATTCCGCGTAATGTGCACCCGCATCCCTCTGCTGTGGTTATTTTGTATTTTTTGGTTACATGTTATTGTTAAAAGAAAAATAGACTTTTTGTCTTCTAATTCTTAGTGTATTTTGAAACTTGTGACTATTGATCTAGATGTTATGACATGATAGTATACATTGTGATTATTATTATTATTATTATTTGTATAAATTTTCGTATATATATATATATATATATATATAAGTGCTATTTCGGATTTTTATTTTTTAGTGTGTTTTCATATCCTATATTTTGGTTTAAAGTCACTCAGTTGGAAACATGCAATGCAAAAAATGAGGAGAAATTTATATTTAGTTAGTTTTCAAAAGTGTCTGATTTCTTAGAAAATAAATTATTAAGAAAATTGAGTATTATAGTTGTGGAAAAACTATATGTCTTGTAGAAACTTTTATGAAATACTCAAAGAGCTATAAAGTAGTGTAGAACCAAAAATTAGAATTATAAAAAAAAACTAGAAAATTTTATAAGATTTTAAATACTATAAATGATCTAAAAAATTCTATTTTCAATTTAAATGTAATTTTAAAACTTATTAAATTATATAGATACTAAAATAATTAAAAAAATTCTTTAAAATAATACAATTTTTAGGATACAAGAACAAGGAATAAAGAAATATAATATAATAAATGAAATAAGAGACTTAATGTGTAATAAGACTAAAAATAAAACAAAAAATGAGACAATATTTAGATTGTTCAAAAACTTGTGATAAATAAAGTTACCTCTTGTCTTCGATTTTTACTTAAAATATTGTGACTGAGTCTTATAGAAACTACAATAAGAGGTTCTTAAAACTAAAGAATGTCTTAAAAATTTGTAATTTATTTTGTAGAAACTTCTAGAAGGTTACAAAAGAATGTATAAACTTTTAAAAAACTAATGAAGTTACTTTGTTTATTTATTAATTTAGCATTTTCTTATCATTTGAATGTTTGGCATTCAACATTAACTTCATATGTTGAGTTAAGAAGATATTCTAGTAACATTCTATTAATGTTCAAACCTTAAAATATTTATACAATATCAATTCCAATACTCTTCATATTATTATCTATTTCTCTATTTTCATCTTGCATAGTAATATTAAGTAATCTTGTATATTCCCAATATTTTATTATTATCTCCTAGGATGTTTCATCTCATGCATGCCTAATCAAGTGTATTTCTTGCAATACATTGATGCAATAGAGATTGTTGCTCTTGTTCCTGAATTTATTGAGAGCAAATTGCATTTGGATTTATTGATATTGTCTTTTGAAAGAAAAAGTAATTCTACCATCTATTGGTTGAAGAATAGAAGTTGTGATAAGGAAGAAGAAATGACAAGTGATATTTAAAATATAATTTTCTTCAACATCATTCTAGTTTAGAAGTTAGAACTTAATTAATGCACACATTGATGCATAATAAATAGCATTACATTGCCCACATGCTCTTTTATTGCTCAAATCACTTGCAAATGTTTAAATTGTGAGATTCTACATAATTTATAAAATTCCATATAATTTATAAAATTTAAATCTACCAAAATTTATAAATTATGTAAGATAACATTATATATAGATATATTAGTAATAATACTAAAAATTCTAAATTAAAATTTTAAAAATTAAATTTACTTATTAATTGTTTTTAAAGATTATTGTAATAATTTTGTATATATATATAATTTTTTTAATATTTAAATAATTTAGAAATAAAAATTAATTTAAAAAAACTTTATATGAATATTCTTAAAGCTTATAACAAATTTTGAATAAATTAAAGAAAGCCATTCTTTAAATATTTTTTCTAGCTTTGTTTTAAGACAAAAAATTCTTTAATTTTTTTAAAATTTTTAATAAAAACACATATTATTAATCAAACTTCAAACTAACTATTTAAGACTTTTTTGTTGTATTTTCTTAATATTTAAAAATAACTATTCTCTAATAGTGCATTGAGTCAAATATTTTAAAGATTTATTAAAAAATAATTAAATTATAATATTTATTTAAATTATTTTATATATCAAATTTTAATATATATTAAAATAAAGATATTCTATAAAAAATTTAATAGCTTCTTTAAGTAGATTAGATATTTTTTTAAAGAATAAAAAATAAATAAAGATAAATAATATTAATGATGTTATTATAAATTTGTATATTTATTTTTGTAATATTTAGTATATTTATTTTTGTAATATTTAGTATAATATTTTTATAATTATTCTTTATATATTTATAATTAGGTTGTACACAATACATGATTTTAGTTTTAAAAAATATATATATATATATATATATATATATATATATATATATATATATAGTATTAAGGATATGAATTTCAAATAAAGAAATCCTCAATACAATTTTGTGACACTGAAAAGAACTAGAAAGTCACTCAAAATTGATATAATATTGAACTAGAATGGCTATTGCATAAAACAAGAAGACTAGAAAGTCTAAAAATAAAACTAAAGACTAAAAAGGAGCTGACAAGAGTGAAAAAGGCTTTACTCTTGCCTCCATATATATTCTTAATTAGGAGCTTTGTGGTGATGTCCTATAAGACTTCTAAAATGTGTTGACTTTGCAAGACACATATCCTAACTTGCAAGACCAATTTTATATATGTATGCTACATAGTTAGCTTGTTTTACAAGCTATCAATACGTAGTTAACTAGTTGATCAAGTTTTTAACCTATCAATCAACTGCAAATACATAAAAAGTCAAAGTAGCATTGTTGTGATATAACATGATTAATAGGTGAAAGAATATAAAAATTATTATATTATAGAAGACCTCAATTCAAAATATTATAGCAAATTATCTTAAAAATATAGATAATAGTCGAAAGGATAGTAAAACTAAAAAGTACTAATATTGCTTTTTACAAAATGGACTTCTATTTATTTTGTAGGACCATAAATAAGGCAAAATAAAGTAAATTAAAAAATTAATTAATGTAGGCATTTGTAAGAGGGAATTGAGAGTAAATTTTAACAAAATTTATCTCAAGAAGCTAAGAATTGATCACCAAAGAGGACCGATTGTCAACTTGGGTCGAAATCAAACCTTGAGGCACAAAACTGCACACCTACGGTGACTTTGGAATTCTTTTGCAGATCAAAGAGTGGAATTTGATAGCAGACTTAATAGAATTTTTATGAGCATTGGTTTTGCTTGATTTGGATTTTTAATGACTTTATAAGAGCTTTACAATATCAATTTTTTTTGGATAACTTGGGTTTTTGTGAAATAAAATAAAGATGATGTTTTGGATAATTTTAGGAGTTTTGTAGTAAATCTATCATTAAAATTTTGTAGATTGATGGTTGTAGCTGTATTTAATATGTATTATGAATTTTAGCTTGATCTAATAATTGAATTGAGGGTTATTGAGGTTTAAGTGGATCAAGATCTTGGAAAGTAGAATTTTAAGTCTAGTGAAGGTTTCTAAGATTTCTTGTAATTTACTAGTTGAATTGGAATGAAACTTATATGTATATGTAGTAAATTTTTTTTCTTATGTATATGAAAATTTTGAAATCAATTAAACGATGAAAATAGAAGATGTTAGCATTAGAAGATTAGCATCAAGGTTAGAGAAGGAGGTCGGTCAACATCCAAGCAGATTTTAGGGTTTTTTTTTCATTTGATAAGTATGATTGTCTTCAAATTTTTTGTACTTGTTTATAACTAAAAGATTGAAAGGTGTGTAAAATTTTAAATAAGATCAATGGTTTAATCAAAATATATCAAGGTTTTAAACTATTTTAGGGGTTTAGTTTAGGATTTAGGATTTGGTTAGAGTTTGATTTAGATTTTTAAGATTTGATTTAGGATTTAGGATTTGATCAAGATTTAATTTAGAATCTAGGATTTGATTAGGATTTGATTTAGGATTTAGGATTTGATCACGATTTGATTTAGGAATTAGGATTTGGTTAGGATTTGGTTCAAGATTTGATTTAGGATTTAAGAATTATCTAGAGTTTGATTTAGGATTTAAGATTTTTCTAGGATTTGATTGAAGTCCATTAGTATTTCAACCAAGATTAAATTTGAATTTAGTTGAGTTTTATTTAAGATATATTATAATTATTTTAATATTTTTAAAAATTTCTTAAGGATTATTTTAAGCTTTATTATAGATTATCTTTCAATTCTTTGAAAATTTCTTATTATTTATTTTGTGATTTCTTTAAAGTTACTTTTAAATTTGATTAAAGCTTGTTTAACATTTTTAAAGTTTAATTATAGTTTATTTAATATTCTATTAGAATTAAGATTTTGTTATTGTAATTTCTATTCTACTATCATGAATTTAGAATACTGATTAGAAATCTAAACAAGAAGCTCAAGAAGAATCGATAAGAACTAGATTAATCAGATGAGTACAAAAACAATACTAGAGAGGTGAGCTAGAGCTCTAAGAGGTGTGTTGTCGAGACTCAGGATCTTCTCAGTCTCGATTCTTATATATACTACAAGCTAAGAAGCTTCTCAAGTAGCTTCTACAAATTAAAAAGCTTCTCAAGCAGCTTCTACAAATTAGGAAGCTTCTCAAGTAGCTTCTACGAATTAAGCAGCTTTTCAAGCAGCTTCTATGAATTAGGAAGTTTTTTAAGCACCTTCCACGAGCTTGAAAACTTCTCAAGTAGCTTCTACAAA